TTTTTTGGATTCTGCTGCATTGATCTCATAAAATTTTAAATTGTTCACCTTTTGTTTTTATTACATTTTATTTTATAAATTTTCATTGTTATTTTACTCCATAAAATAAATGTCATAAATAATTTTATTTTATTTTCATTGTCTAGCTCTCTAATAAAAATACTATTCACAAACAAAAAATTATGCATTTTAAGATGAAAATATTAACGACTTATTTTCCTAAAAGGTTGAATCTCCAACCCCAATGACCTCTATCTCGGCCAGACAGAACATTTGGGAAGATGTAAATCACAGTGACTCAATGACTCAGCAAACATGACTAAATGTTGGTGCGAACAAAGAATCTGTCCACTTTATGTATAACAACTTGCCATTAGAATGATATGTTATGGGTAATTAATTAAAGCAACATGTTTTTTCAAAAAAATTAAAGCAACATGTTATTTCCATACTAAAATCATTGCTAATGTTTATTTTCTAATATATCATTATTAAAAGTTTTAAAAATAGTTTTTGTTTTTATTTGCTAATTGAGTAATTGTGTATCAATTCACTTGTCACAATTTAATTACAACAGGAAAATTTTAAATTCACAACCACTAAAAAGTGATAAAAAGCTTAAGTTTTATGTCAGAAATACTATTTTTGACTAACTTAATAATCACTTTGGAGATTATCTAAAAAAAAAAAAAAATCACTTTGGAGATTCATAAAGATCTTTCTTAATATTATTAACCACTAGTTTAAGTGGTCGATAACACCAAACACTAACAAAGATAGTAAAAAATTTGAACAATTAAGTTGCTAGATTGTTTACCAGGACTATGTGGTCTAATGGTACCCGGGTATGACTTTCATTTGCAAAATTATGAGATTGAGCCTCAGTGGTTCTTTGTGTTAAGTATATGAACAGATACTACAATGTAATAAAACTATTAACTTTTAAAAAAAGTTGCTAGATTGTTCTCGAATTTCTGACCATGGGTGGTTAGAAAATGACAAAAAATTTAACCATGAGTGGTAAAATTGCTAAAAAATTAGCGAGGGTGATGAAAATTAGGCTTACTATTAGGGCTATTTATCTTTGATTATTTATTAAAGGTGATTGAAATTTGTGATGATTTTCCAACCACTTTTAAAGGTGGTCAGAAAAATTAAAAGTTTCACAAAATTTCATTTAGTTTTCAGTTGGTCATAAAAGTTAATCGAAAATAGGTGATTTTTATAAAATTAATCCATGTAATAATTAAACGTTTTGACAAAATTGCCACGTGGGTAAGATTTTCTTAAAATATACTCATTTCATCCAGATTACTATTCCCTACAATAATCTCAGCAAGAAACACGCTGATAATACTTTGACCCAACTCACAAATCGAGATGTTTTTAGTTTTGACTAAAAATTATAATCGGATTAGTTAAATAAAACTAAGAAAAGTTCAATTTATTAATCTGTTTGCAATTATTTATTGCGTTAATTTTCCGACGGTGGCCATTGTACGCTGGTACAATTATATATTGCATTAAATTTTCCTTAATAAAAATAAATACCAAAAACTTGTGTGGAGATCCGTGAGACGGGTCGAGTCAAGATAAAATGTAATACTTATACGTACTAGCAAATGTAAAACTAAATAATGAATAAAATGTTTATTACTTATATGAGAAAATATAATACTTTTGAAAAAAAATGTAATACTTTTACAATTGAGTTAATTTTCAAAATGGTCCTCCGACTTTGACTTTTTTCAAATTGACCTCTTGACTTTTAATTTTTTCAAAATGGTCCTCAGCCTTTTGAATTTTAAGCCAAAATGATCATCCATTAGTTTTGGCGTTAAAGTTGGTGTTAAAATGAAGGGTAAAATTAGAAATTTAAGTTTTGTACTCTAATTTAAAGCAATCTGTGATTCCTTTCAGCAGTCTGCGCACATATGACTTCAAATTAGGTTTTTGCTCTCATAAATCTGCAATCAAAATGTGGGATAATCAACTAGAAGGCCAAATTAGTTCATCTTCAACTTCATCCACAAACTTCTCAAGACAAATATTTCTGGCCTTCTAGTTGATTATCCTACATTTTGATTGTATATTTAAGAAAGGAAAAAACCTGATTTGAAGAAATATGTGCGCAGGTTGCTAAAAGGAATTACATATTATTTTAAATTGGAGTGCAAAACCTAAATTTCCAGTTTTACCCTTCATTTTAACACCAACTTAACGCCAAAGCTAACAGAGGACCATTTTGACTTAAAATTCAAAAGTCGAAGGACAACTTTGCGGAAATTAAAAGTCAAATGGCCAATTTGAAAAAATGCCATAGTCGAATGACCATTTGAGAATTAACTCTTTACAATTTGATATAAAAGTATTACATTTTTTTTTTTTATAAAAGCATCATTACTTTAGTTAAAATTATCTCGTAAAATATATAATAATTTTTAGTTAAAATATAATATTTTTTTCATGCATGAATCCGAGAAGGGTTGGAGTATGTGTACATGCAGTACGTAGAACATGGAATAGATACATGCATGCATGCGCCTGTTGTAAGAGGTTAAGAAGCTCATTCAGTGTACATAAATTTACTATCTCTAAATTGAACAAGATTAGATGCGATTGAACAGTGGGTATAGTATATATTAATTATTTTTTGTCCATTTGTTTATTTATTACCACATATATATTTGTTTACACAATGGAAAGTCATGTGAATTCGCTGAATTGGTCGGTTTAGGGTGTGAAGTGAGTAACTTTTGTACATTTTGTCCATGACCCCATTGGACTAGTAGAATATGAAAATGAAAGCAAGCTCATGCATGTGGACACATTAGACAATAACAACTTCTTTTTTTTTTTTTAATATTATTAAAAGTTAATATTGATTAGAGAAACTTCAATTCAATCATTTTGTAACAAATGTCCATTGGTATTATAAAAGTGGTTAAAACCAACGGCAACACTACTCCATGCGCTTGTGACCTTAGGAATGACGGGCACGTCAGTACTGACTTAGCTCAATGGTTCAGTAGACAGTATTTGAGAGAAGAGAATAATGTTTGAATCTCGGTGTCGACAGTGTAGATATTATGCCTAAAGTGGGCAGATTCTTTGTGTACACCGACATTTGATCCTGTCTGCTGAGACACTGGGTCATTGAGTCAGCGTAATTTACATATTTCTAAATGCTCTGATGGGTCGGAGTGTGGGGACCTTGGGGTTGGAGATTCAATTTTTCGTTTGGTATGGTATTACCAACATGACATCATTTGTCTATATATATCTATAAGGTAGATTTTTTTTTAATTAATTAATTAATTAATATTGAAGGGATGTAAAGTCTTGTTTGGGACGCAGAAAGTTTCTCACAAGTTTTCCACATAGGTATATGGCCATATGGGGATAGAGTTTAGTTGAGGTGTGCAGTCACTTATCTGGAAATTTGTATATTATATCGTTTTCCGACATCATTTTTTCTTTGGAAGTAAATTTCCATGAAGCTTCATATGCTATATGATTCTATGTATTAAATGTGGACAAACGGCGGAAAGATACATGGCTGGACTTTTGTGTAAGTTGGATGGAAATGCAGATATATATATTGATGATTAAAGGTCAGCTTAATTGGGCAGTGTGTTTTTTGGACTCATGGGGAGCTGGCTAATCAATTGTCTGTTGTACTCGAAATTTCTTTGTCAGTATGACACTATGTCAACTCGCAATCACTATTTGTACACAAGATAAATATTAACTTTAATTGGTAAAGAATTGCAATGAGGTAAACCAATATTCATATGTTATTTATAATTGACCAATTTAATTAAATCAAGAAGACTCGTAGATAAGATAAGTTTTTTAACAAGATTAAGTTGGTCAGAATGTTGACTTGGTAACTATAAATTAAATTACAAGCTTGACTCTCAGTGAGAGCGGCTTATTGACCTTCTTAGTTTGAGCTTATTAGTTATGAGCAGTATAAATTGATTTACCTTATTGTGGTTCTTTATCAGCTAGGGTCTTAAAGTAGAGTTTACTCATTGCACACTCTCGGATAGTGGTTACAAGTTACCATCATCACTCAAAAGCTCTAATTCTGAGCAATTATATTATATCGTGAACTACTGACATATATGCTTATTTTTAGTATGCTACAAATTCATTTTTAATGTATTACCGAGAAATGAACATGTAGTACACTAAAAATGAATGTGTAGTATACTAAAAACAATAATGTATCAATGATATAACCTGCGAGTGAGGAGGACGACTGCCAAACTTAGTTGGCGGTTGTTATATAGTGGATCATGGTTCATAGTGCTATGTGGGCCATGTTATCAAATGAAACTATAGTAGAATTAAAATGATAGTTTAGTGTTGCTAAAATGAAACTAGTGTTTGTGAAAAATGAAACCAAAAAAACAGAGTTCATTCAACAACGTATTGTCAAATGAAACTGTAGTATAATTAAAATGATACTTTAATGTTGTTAAAATGAAACTAGTGTGTGGAAAATGAAACTAAAATTCAGAACCATACAATAACATATAGTGTCAAATGAACGTGGAGTGTAATTAAAACAATACTTTAGTATTATTAATTAAACTAGTGTGTGAGAAAAATGAAATAACAAAATAGAACTCATACAATAATGCATATTGTCAAGCTGTAGTATAATTAAAATGATACTTTGATATTTCTGTAATGAAACTAGTGAGTGTGAAAAATGAAACTGAAAAACAGAGTAACATTGTCAAATGAAGCTAAAGTATAATTAAAATGATACTTACTTTATGGACTATATTACGGTGATGGTCCATAGTAAAATATGCCCTTAGTTGGTGATTGGGCCTTGGACGTTTAATGGGCTTAGTGGGTCATTAGTCTGATTGATGTCCCTATAAGCAACCTAACTCTAAACCCAAACTGTGAAAGAGGTGGGCCGGGTTTGATTTCCCCTAGTATTCAGGGTTAATAAGCCCACTAGTAGGTTCCAGAGCCCAGACTTCACTCCGATCCTCCTCCGTTATTGTCCGGCCGGCGGCCAAATCTCTCCACTTTGCACTTTTGCCCTAGTATAGCCGCTACTGGAAGACTGGAACGGTGGTTCTTGCGTAAAACAAAAGGTGAACACAAGTAACTTCCCGGCGATATACGGAGATGTCGTCGTTTAAGAATGCTATTCCAAGGCGAGCTCACAAGGAGCGTTCTCAGCCGTAAGTGATTGTTCCTGATTTCAGAGCTCGGCTCAATGTATTATGCTCATTTGTTTTGAATGCGTTCCTTATATTCGAGCCTGATTGTGTTTCTTTTTACTGGCATTATGGCAGAGAATCGAGGAAGAAATTTGGACTTCTCGAGAAGAAAAAAGACTATGTTAAGCGCGCACAAGCTTACCACAAAAAGGAAGAAACCTTACGGGTAAGTTGATCTAAATTGCAGTTAAATTTGAGGATTGCTTTGCATGAAGGTCGAAGCTATTGGGTAGGTGATTAATTAATAGGTATAGATAGGGATGTTGAGGTTAGAATAATTGGACTTTAGAGGGCGCCTGAAACGTTATTGTTTGCAATCATTTGCTTGATACTCCTGTAAGCTAGAATGGAATTGCTGGAAATTGCCAACTCCTAAAAGGTTATATTCAAGTTATACTTGTTTTTGCATTACAGAAACTCAAGGAAAAGGCTGCTTTCCGGAATCCAGATGAATTTTACTTTGGGATGATTAAATCGAAAACTGTTGGTGGAGTGCATAGACCAGAGTAAGATATGTATCATTATTGTATATCATATTATTATCATTGATAAACTTGTATCTTATAGATACTAATACAATCCATCTTGTTCTACACTTTTGAAGGAGTGAAGCAAATAAATACACTCAAGAAGAGCTAATGTTGATGAAAACTCAAGACATAGGTTATATTCTGCAGAAACTTCAGACTGAGAAGAAGGTTCATGCCCTGTGCTTAATTTTCCTTTTGTATGAAGTACTCGAATGCTTGTGGATTGATGTAAAGCTCACTATCTCTCTCTCTTTTCTTTTGAAATCTTAATGCAGAAAACTGAAAAGCTTACTGCAATGTTACACTCTCTTGATAATCAGCCATCAAATAAACGTGTCTATTATGCTGAGGACAGGTTCACACTATGAGCTCTTTTATGCTCTTGATCTCTTTTACTGGAATTATCTTTTTCTTGATTGAAAAATGTACTGATATGAGTATATGACAACAATTGCATCTGATAGAATGTGAAGTAGTTATTTTGGTTCTTATTTTCCCATTGTATAACCACATCCATAGGTACTTAGTTGATTGAGCTATATAGAATTGAATGTAAATGCATATTTGGCATATTTGTGCAAGTAGAATAATGCCTGTGCTTAGTTGGAACTTTGAAACTCTTTTTATCTAGCACAACTTTTTCTTTCAACATGCCTATGAGAGTTCTCATTAGTAGTCTTAGAAGAAGATTTTAATTAAATGAATTGTCCCTCTACTCCTTTATAGACCAATTGCTACAACTTTTTTAAAGTTCTGCTGAAGCAATCAGAGGATAAAGGGAAAATGGAAGGAGTGCTTTTCATCTTGACCGCATTTTTGGGCTATATGCCGAGAACATACATTAACCAGAATTCAATATATTTTCTAATTGGTGTACTACAAGGTTATGACTTGAATGTGCATTGAGGGAGGCCTAAAAGGAGAAGTATAGAATCTATATAGCCGACCACAACTAGATTTGGGTTAATGTGTGGTTATGTATGGTTAGGCAATCTTCCTAGATTCAAAATGCATTAAGCAATTTGGTACTCATCATATTAAGTGGTAATGGTGTTTTAGATAGATTAGGGTGCAGTGTTTCCATTATTTTCCCCTTGTTATATTTCTTTTGTACTATGGAGTGCATTTGTTTGTTTGTTTGTTTGTTGGTTTGTTTGTTTTTTTTTTTTATAATAATTAAGAGCATTTATCCTTTTACTGTATACTGGGTGCTTTAATCAAGTTGCTTACCTGTCAACCTGTCCACTTACTTCTAGAGAGGAGGCTGAAGAGATCAAATCAAGAATATCTGAACATCGTAACATGCCAACGTCCGATGACTTGCCTGGCAGTATTAAAAGGTAAATATGCATTTCAATTTGATTTTGGAATGTTCATATCAATTATGCCTCGAGTATAGAAGTTCACCATTATCTGTAATAATGGCATATATCATTTAGCTTTCTTGTCATGTATGCAATTATGCATGTCTTGAACAAACTGTATATATGCTTTCTTTTGTGCATCCTAAATACTATCAGAAAAATTCACAACCGAAGATGCACTTTTATAGAATAAACTTATCCAAAAATAGTATGTAATATATACAAATATAAAGAGCAACGCATTTCCAATTGGATGAATTTTTAGCTTTGCTTAGCAGCAATCTCAATGCACAGACACTATCTTTAGACTGTTGCATGAATACTTGATGTATTCGATTCAGTTGGTTTGTCTGACAGAAAGTTAAGAAAAGAACAATGGAAAAGCGGGAGTTTTCTTGTTCTCATTTTCCTTGGGGAAGGTGGTTGGTTGATGTTTCATCATCCTTTCTCAATTTTTATGTTTTGGTATGCATTTCCTTGGGTTTTGGTTTCCAAAATTATTATGCCACTTGTAACTTATCTCGGTGTTACATATCTCCTTTCAGGAAAATAGCTTCTTCCTACAAAGAGCTTGAGGCAAGAAACAGCAGAGTGAAGACTCTAGAGAAACTATACATGGATATGGCCATGCAAAAAGAGTTACAGGTCCTTTTTTTATTTTTAAATTTTGTGGTTATATATTTATCTTTTCTGTTGGAATCGACACAACAATAGAAATTCTTTTGGATCACCAGAAAAAGGGGAGAAAGCGCAAACTTCGCGAGGATGAGATTGTAACCCCAAACACAAAACCAGTTTTCAAGTGGCGGCCAGAAAGGAAGCGATGAAATTTTATACACGTGAAGTTTCCAGTTTATCATCATCACTATAAACATCTTGCGGAGTTGCCATGTGATCAGAAGTTTTGTATGACAAGTATTGGAATCTATATAGATGTCATTTTGTAGGTTTTTCACATGTTAACTAGGCTCAACTGTACAAGAAATATTTGTGCTGGCTTGGCAATACTACATCTTTTGTTAGATTTTCTCTCTGTAATAGATGCTGGAAGCAAGTTCAGGTTTTGGATTGAAGGTTCCTTTTCCTTATACAAATGGTTTAATACATGAAATTATGGGGCTTCAATTCTTCATTTTCAAAATTTAATAATCGATAACAAATTATACTATAAAAATCTTATGATTTTTTAAAAAACATTGTTTAATTTTCAATTCTTATATTTCTAAAAAAAATTGTAATAATAACCTACTAAACCAGTGACCTAAGTCCGTTCCAGTTCGTCTTTTCTTTTTAGTGTTCTTCTACCTCAAACCTTTATTTTTATTCAGCGAAGTATCCACATTTACTCCCCACCCGTCACCTGAGATTCTGAGAACACAGAATCGTTACATTTCTATGCTCCAATTTTCCTCTATTCTCAATGCTTGTAAGAGCCTTCGAACTCTCAAGCAAGTCCATGCATCCTTAACCGTTTCATACGGCCGTAGTCTCAGTGCTGTTATTATTTCCAAGTTGACGCCTTTATATGTAAAGTTTGATGATATTCACAACTCTGTTTCGCTTCTCAGTTCTTTACAAAAGCCTTGTACATATCACTGGAACTGGTTGTTAAAGGCCTGTGTTGATTTGGGACTGGCTGAATCTGCGTTTTATGTTTACAATCAAATGAGAGAAAAGGGTGTCTTGCATGATAGTTATACGTTTCCAATAATAAACAGGGCCGTAGCGTTGAGTTTTGGTAATTATCGGTATGGGAAATTGATTCATTGTTTGGCTTTTAAAATGGGTTTTGATTTGGATGTTTATTTCTGCAATACATTGATTGAGAGTTATACAAAGAGTGGGGGGCTTGTTGACGCTTTTCAGGTGTTTGAAGAAATGCCTCAAAGAGATTTGGTTTCTTGGACTTCGATGATTTCTGGGTTTGTTTCTGAAGGTGATGGTGTTGAAGCATTTAGATTGTTCAGAGAGATGCAGAAAGAGATCCACCCCAATTCAGTGACGATAATAGTGGTTTTGAAATCTTGCTTAAGGTTTGTTGAATTTATACAGGTTCATTGTTGTGTTATAAAAAATGGACTCTTGATTGACCTGTCTATTAAGAATTCCGTTTTGAAGAATTATTCTAGTTTTTTTAGTGTCAATGAAGCAGACGCTCTTTTTGGTGAAATTGAGAGCCCAGATGTTGTTGCTTGGAACATTATGATTTCCTTGTATTCCTCTAGAGGAGAGATTGTGAGAATGATAGATTGTTTTCATAAAATGTTGGCTGAAGTGGAACCCAGCATTGAGACTTTAACTACAATGATTTCTGGGCTTGCAAATGGTGGGAATCTTTCCCAAGGTTGTGAAATACATTGTTTTTCTCTAAAAAGTGGACTCATGGATGGTATCTTGAAAAGTTCTTTGTTGAATTTTTATGCCAAGTGTTGTGAGTTGGAGAGATCAATTAAGTTATTCAATGAGATAACTTGCAAAAACTGTATAGTTTGGAGTGCTATGATGACTGGTTTCATAGAAAATGGGCATTTTGAAGAGGCTGTTGAATTATTTCTGAAAATTTTAGTTGCTGGAGACAAACCTGTTTATGAAAACCTAGAGAACCTTGTTATTGCTTATACTAGCATGGGTGCTTTGCAACTGGGCAAAGGAGTTCATGGATACCTTGTGCGGAATTTGTTTTATACATTTGATGGGGGCAATTCTCTAATGACCTCAATCTTGAACATGTATATAAAATGTGGAAACATCTCCACTGCAAGAACTTGTTTTGATAGAATGGTATCAAGAGATGTTATAATGTGGACATCAATGATAGATGGCTATGGAACCCATGGACTTGGTTCTGAAGCTCTGCGTTTGTTCCATGACATGGTAGAGGAAGGAACTAATCCGAATAGTATAACTTTTTTAAGTTTATTGTCTGCTTGTAGTCACTCTGGCCTTTTGACAGAAGGTTGTGAAATCCTTCACTCTATGAGAACAAGGTTCAATGTTGAACCTGATTTGAATCATTACACTTGCATTGCTGATCTACTGGGTCGGTCAGGCAAGGTCAAAGAGGCCTTAACCATGATATTGAAACTGATAGTTTTACCGGACAGCAAGATCTGGGGGGCTCTCCTTTCTGCTTCCCAAGTACATAACTATCAGAAAGTTGCAGAATATGCTTGTCGCAGACTCATGGAAATGGATCCTGATAATGCTGGTTACTACACTCTGTATAGCAATGTTCAAGCTAGTGCTGAAAGGTGGGATGAAGTTGAAGACATAAGAAGTGCTATGAAAGAGAAGTTTTTAGTAAAGAAGCCAGGGTGGAGCTGCATAGAAGCTGGAGGATTGCTCCATGGTTTTGTTTCAGGTGATAGATCACATCCTCAAATGGAGGAAATACATCAAGTGTTAACGTCTTTTAAGTAGAAAAATGTAAGTTTGATTCTTTGCTTGGTAAATAGATATTTTCCTTTTTTTTTCAGTGACAACTTAACACTTGATGATTTTTGCTGTTCTATGTTCTTTCTGTTGATAGCAGTATTGGTAAAGCTCATTTCCACCCAAATATATGTCTGTGTATGTATGTATGTGTGTGTAAAATATTAGGCCTCTTCTATTGAGACATATTTAGTAATCTTGTGTGGATACTATATCATTGTAAATTAAATATGTCCTATCCTCTTTGCATGGAAATGTCTGAAGTTTCTTCTTTCAATTTTTTTTTTTTTTTTTTAAAATAAAATTGTTTCCCCCATTATTTACAAATTTCCTTTTATTTGATTAACGCCCAGCTTGTCTATGAACAACCCTCATGAACATGGCTATCTGAGTATCTGGTATATGACATGACTATAATGGTGAATTATAGATTGACAATTGATGCTTGGTAAATGACATGACTATAATGGTTTGTGCAACAGTCATCCAATGGAGTTCTAGCATCTAGCATAAGCTCCACATATATGCTGCATCTCCTGGGTTTTCTTGTAACTATAGATCCACCATGCAGGCTGACATTCTATGATTAAGAGTCACTAGGTAATCATTATGAAATATTCTCATTAGACACAATCTATTGGCAAGACCAAGTTTGCCATTATTGGAGATTGATGAGTGTTGAAGAACCACTAGTTTTAACATGCTGCTGACTGCAGGTACTGATTATGAAAATCATCAGACACAATCTATTTGCAAGATCGAGTTTGCCGTTATTGGAGATTGATGGGTGTTGAAGAGAAACAAATGAGTAATATAATGGACATGAGTGCTTTCCTGGGTGGATTTGCAGTTTCTTTGAACACATGATCATCTAGGTGATGATTGTAGACTGTAGTTCCTATATGCATGAACAATACCCTGTCTGCCATTTATGACTATGAACCGATATGCACCTTTCATAAAAGGTATGCTGCTACCAATGTGTTGAAAAAGAGCTTTTTTTGCATTAATCTCATTCAGAAGTGCCTTTACAATTTTCTGATGGAATATAGGTGTGTGCCAATTTCAACATATCCATGGTCGCGTGAGCTTTTGAATTCCAACTATCTATATTCTCACTATAGAAATTGTGAAGAAGGTTGTTTGCTTGAACTCTTGAAGATCTCATAGTGGAGGCTGACATATTCGACGACTTCTGGTAAGCTTTGTTCTCTAAATGGATGTGGAAACTATCAATTGTCCAATTAGTGTTTTAAAGTGCATTATTCAAAAGCAAATCTTCCCATCCCCAGAACCAGTAAAGGTAAAATGACCATGGCATTGCCATTTATACAGGTTTAAAAAATCACAATTTGCACTCAGTTATTACAGAGAATGAAAATGAACAGATAAAGATTCTAAAATAGTACACATAATTGAGGTATAAATAAACTGAAATTTTCTTGCGAGGGGACTGATCAATTTTATATATGGTTATGTCCATGTAGAGTAACAGTGCCAGCTCTAAATTTATAACATATGATGTATCCACCCTGTTATGCAATTAACTTGTAGCCAAATTCTGATTTCATTGGCAAAAATTATTTCAGTTGCATGGCTCTAAGTTCTATATTTCAAGTTCTTTATCATAATGTTCATTCGGCAGCGTGAGGGCTTTCAAAACAAGTAGAAAAACAATATACCATTATCGGTTCAGCAGCTCGAAGTTGATCTCAATAAAATGTCAGGTCAGTCACATGACTCATCCTGTTAGTCAAGCATGGCTAATGTTAGCCTTTCTCTTGACAATGGTTGCAACATCAATATTATTATTCATGTTGATGATAGTTTTAGTTTCTTTACCTCTTTCCATAGAAACTGAAAAACTTTGCTTAATTAATAAGAACTATGTTTCATAAAACTTAACCAAAGTAATATCAATTTTATATAAACATTCAGCATGGATTTCCTCATGCAGGTACAAAATACAAAGTGATTATTAATGCTTGCATTCATGTCACATTATTCTAGCTGAAGGTGATAAAGCGTATGGATAAAAGTTTTGAAGTCCCAAATTACCCTCGGAGGGGTTGAATTGGGGTGTAAAATATTGTGCTTTATTGCCTAGGTGATTAAGTGCCTTTAGGTCAAGATTATAAAGTAATCTAGATAGGCAACAATAGACCAAAATGTAAAAGCAAGGATAGAAATTGGAATTCTCAAAGGCATAGTTCCCTATTGAGTTCAACAATCCATTATTTTTTAACTTAAGTCAAGTCTAGTCACCAATGCCATGCAACCATTTTGGGACAGAGGGAGTAACAAGGATATGAAGTGAAGAGAGTGATGGCTTGAATGGATGTCTTAGCTTCAGAATCAACAAAACTTGGTCAGAGGTCCAATTGTAGACTCCAGCTGCTTAACTCAATTATAAAGCATAGTTCTGACTGAGATTATAACTTTTAACCACAATAGAGCACCAACTGGGTTAGATTGTTTGGTCAGACTTCAAAATGTTCACTGCAACAGTTTGAAAATTAGTCTTCATAATGTTGCAAAACCAATTTAGGAAATGGTTGGCATTCCTAGTTTCCTACTGAGGTAAGCATTGGATTGCAAAATGGTACATTAGGAATTAGCCTTGGAGGAGAAATGGTTGGAGGTTCAACTGACCCTTATACCAAGTTCAACACTATGGCCAACAGATGGACTTATCATCCCAGTGTTCTAGTTGACGAAAGGATAAGAAATAAAGTTAGTGGTTTAGCCAAACATTCAACCATGCTCACCAACCAAATGTAGTGTTACATTTAAAAAAATTTTGCAAACTAAAATGGAAGTAAAATAAGCTTTAGTCAAGGCTCCTACTGCGTAATTATGCTCAGTGGCCTATATAAACATTGTTTTGCAGCTTTAGACTCAGATAATTTTTTAACATTTTGGATGAATTATTGACTGTGCTTAATGAAAAGTAATATCAACAATTGATCTCTATAAATTAATACTTAGCCTATCATACTTCACTTGAGTGATGAGTCCTGAATCTCCATTAAAATTGATCACTCTTTTAAACCAAATATTCTTCAGGTAGATTGGGTAACCTATCGCACTTGACCAATCATTAGCCACATTATTTGTTAATATTAAACCAAGATGATTAGGCGCTTTGTGCCAACAAGTTTCTGCAACAATTTATACAATAACAAGGTCATGAGAGAGTAACTGTAGTAATGGAAGAAGAAATTCACAATAGAATACCTGCCATTTTGTTAGGTACAAACATGCAGGCATAAATACTATATCAGTTAAGTTTGCCACAATTCAATTACTAAGGAGATTGCTTTATTTGCCAAATAAAAATAATCAGTGCAGACTGTGCAGTAGTTTTCTTATATTTTATGGCAGTACCACTCCTTGGATCACTTTTATGGTTGATGATTGAGATTTTTGTACTAGTTGTCTTTCTAAATTTTGCTTCACCTGTACTCCAGATACTACTTTTAACCTGTAACATTTTGCTGCATCCTTTTTGGCAAGTTTAAACTTTGATTTCATGATGACTATGCAATAGTGCAATTGACAATTTCACATGATTACTGAGAGAGGGCAAAGCCTATATTTCCATGATAGGGGACCTAAACAGTGAAATTAAATGATATAATTGGAGCTCCTAAGAGTATGGTGGGAATTATATATTGTTCATAGTTTATGGAGATCTAAGGCAGTCTATATGCAGGATTGGCATGCTATGATAATTGAATTACTAAAATACCACATTAACATTGACTTAATGAGCTTTGCCCACACACCTGTGTCCAACAACTTAAGATTGTTGACTGCTATGCAGGGTTTGATTATTCAAGATGAAGAACTCATCATATCTAGAATAAGAGATCTCGCTCCATAGTTTCATGGGGATGTATGCCCTGTTTCATTTTCCAGAAGATGATTGAAGGAAAACTGAACCAGTCTTTGAAAGTTTATTGTCCCACCAGATATCAACTGTTTGGTTGATTATTCGGTAATCAAATTTTCTTTCTCCTGTATTTGCAGATGTCTATATATGTTATATCTTTCTAGCCAATTTATCCCTCAGTATCAAACTATCAATCTGTGAGTGATATAGAATCTGTTGTTTCTGAGAGAAGAATAGACAGCTAAATTTTTGTCCTCATAATTTTGAAACAAATTTGTAATATATAATAATTTCTTCATCCTATAAAGAATACAAAATTCATGTCATTTCACACTACCATGAAATTGGAACTTTGAAATTGTTTCATATTGATGTGTGTGTGTTTTTGTCTGTAGTTCTTTGCTACAGAAGAGAGGCTAAAAATGAAAATTGTAGTGAAAGGTCTGTAGGGTTTCTTCAATCAATCAAAATGGGGGAGCAATTTGAAAACTTGGGAAAATCATGGTACAATCATGTATGCCTGTTTTGTCTGTAATTGACAAGTTTCTCTTTCAACATCTATCACTGTTCACTAATCCTGAATTTTCTTCTCCTAATTGACAACTTTTCTCTTTCATATAACATCTATCACTATATATATATATATAATGATCTTGAATTTTTCTTAGTTTTTTTCTCTTACATTTTTATTTTTCTCTTCAACTGATCTGTGTTATCTTATCCCCTTTGCCAGCTATATTCTTTCTCCCTATCAACCCTCATAAGATTCTCTCTCCTTTGTTTTTCTGTATGTGTTAGTTTCTGGAATTCTGGGTTGGAAAGGTAAATCTGATCTGATAGAATTATTCCAATGCCACAGAAAACAGTAGTGTAATCTCTGGGCTCAGAGCACTGCTGATCTTCTACTACTACTACCACTCACAAAGTCACAAGATCCCTTCAATGAAATGTCCATTCCTCCTTTCATTGAAGTTGGAGCTGGAAAGACTGTAACCCAAGAACACTTGAGTCGCACTTGATTTATATCCATGCATGATTTATAATATCTAATAGTTGTTATTCAATGCAAAATTAGGAGGAAATTTCAATTTTGGGATTATAGGGGTCTTGTTAATTTTAGTCCTTAACTTTTAAAAATGTTAATTTAGTACCTTAATTATGTAATTTTTGTCAATTTTGGTCACTCCGGCCAAATTTCGCCAGAAAATTTTAATAATTAAAATAATAAGGATATTTTGGTCGTTTCACGCCTCTTTTCTTCTTTTCCGGCGAGTCCATCCCTTTCTCTCCCGTTTTCAGCGTTCTTTCTCTCCGTAAACCTTATCTTTAATATCATCAAGCCTCTTTTCCCTATCATCTTAGTTCATTTCATTCGACGGAAACGGGAGAGGAAGGGATGGACTCGCCTGTGAAGAAGAAAAGAGACGTGAAATGATCAAAATACCCTCATTATTTTAACAATTAAAATTTTTCGGCGAAATTTGGCCGGTAATTTGGTCGAAGTGACTAAAATTGACAAAAATTACATAGTTAAGGTACTAAATTGACACTTTTAAAAGTCAAAGGAATGAAATTAACAAAATCCCTATAGTCATAGGACCAAAATTGAAATTTCCTCGCAAAATTAGAGTATGCTTACTATACACATATCTTATATATCTAAAGGGTAGTAGTCTAATATTAAGATTCCACCCGTGTTGAAGTTTTGATGGAAAAAGTAAATTACTGAATGTGCGTCAACAACTTATAGGGTTTTTCAAAGGGTACTTGTACACCGCTATTTACAACAGGTCAGTTTCATAATCTTTACACTTTATGATTGTGAGTGATGTAAAGGTAAAAACTTTATTTGAATTAATTAATCAGTTGAGTTATGAATGGAGAATTCTGTTCACATGGCTAATCACTAGGGGTGGGTAATACAAAGAGCAAGGTCTATGCAAATGGGAAGGTAAGGTGAATAAATGAGAGGGAGAGAGAGAGATGAGAGAGCAACAAACTGCAAAGACCCATTAAATGAAGCCTTGACATGACAAGACAACCCCACGCTTGTCGGCTCTTTTATCTGCCCCCACCCTTTGATTATAGGACACTTCACTTAAATTACTACACTGGAATTATGTATAGTGTCTGTATCCCTCCCCCATCTGCTTTGCAGTCTACACAACAGATGGTTTTCTGCACTGTCGAGAAAACTGTCAAAACCCCTTTCTCTCTCTCTTTGACTCATTCAATGTCTTTGTTTAAATTTGTTTAGTAGCCTTTAATATTGGCCCGTGGGTTCTGGTTTTTAAGGTTATCCCTTTCCAGCAATGCCCACATATACATACAGCACACTGTACTGTGCGGGTTTTATTTGCTTCTTTCTTCTTCTTCTTCATCCCCCTCGTGTGCTTGCATGTACCTACACCCACTGTTTTTGTACTTGTGCTTCAATTATTTCTCTTCTGTTTTATTAATGCCATGACCAACCCACTACTAAGATCAACCTCTGATCTCTTGCTTCACTTTACTTCATCCTCTACATTTACTCTTTTACCTTTACTCATTTCTTTTTTCCTTTTAGTTTCTATATAGGTGAGAAAGAAGAAAACAAACAAAATAGGTCACTTGGATGAAGACCGGCAACCCCTCGTGCATTATTAACCACAAACAGAGATCAAATGTTATTGGGAAACTAAATACATGAAGGTCCCCTTCAAAAAAAAATAAAAATACATGAAGGTCCAGGTCAATATTACTTGTGCTCAGGTGGCATGTAGTGACCTTTCTTATGTGAGAGGTCATGAGATCGAGCCTCAATGGAGATGTTGTGGATTCTTTGTACTTTATTAAGTTGAAAAAAGTATATTTGAACAGATACTACAATGTAATAGAGTTAGCATTAAAAAAATAATAAAAAAAAAATACATGAAGGTCCAGGTCAATATTGCTTGGATGAGTTGTGAACTAATCTGCACTTTTAATCTTTCAGCTTTTACAAAATGGCTAAATATGACTAGAATGCTTAAACTCTTAACATGGGTGAAATGGATGGATTTTACTCCTTCAACTATATATATTAATTTACATACGTGAGATAGAAAACAAAGAACTAGGTTACTTAGATGAAACCTTGGCCTGCCCTTGTGCATTATTAGTCACAAACAGAGATCGAATGTCATTGAAAAAGTTATAACTCAAACGCATGAAGGCCCAAGTTAAGATCACTTGGATGAGTTGCGATCTAATCTGCACCTTTAATCTTTGATCTTTTACAAATTGGTGGAATATGTCTAAAATGCTTAAAATACACTAACATCTTTGAACTTTTACAAATTGGTGAGGACGTAAGAACTAATTTAAATCATCAATTTTGAGAGATTTAAAGGCTATGAACAAAACAAAAATGAACTGCACAACAAAGTGGGACAGAATGCACAACAAACTGAGTACGAAAAATTAAATCCATTGTATAGAATTAATTCACAGCCATTGACTTAATTAAATGAAAGGATCAAATAAGTCCTCACGTCTTCACCTAAAGATAAGTCCTCATTTGATATATATATATATATATATATAAAAGTTCCAGAGACGGGTGAGTGCTTCTCGTGCGATTGTGCAGGTAATTAATGTGTGTAAGTTTTGTACTTAATGTGCGTGAGTCTTGTGCTTAATGTGCGGAGTGTGTAGTGATTAAGTGCATGAGTTTTGTACTTAAAGTGCGTGAGTCTTGTGCCTAAGGTGCATGAGTTTTGTGCTTAATATGCGTGAGTTTTGTGCTTAAGGTGCATGCGTTTGTGTTCTGAATGTATTTTATTTGTGTGTTTAATGTGCGTTTATTGTATACTTAAAGTGCATCAGTGTAATATTTAATGTGAGTTCACTCACACAACCGCACGAGAAGCGCCACTCGCACTTGATCCCTTCCCTATATATATATATATACCTCATCAATTCATTGTTTTGTAATATATGAACAACAATTATTTTCATTTCTCACAAGAAAACGTATTCTCACCTGATCTCGAATATGTGCTTGTGTATGGGATCAATGAGAACAAATCTTGAGGTAAAAAGGATGGAGTACTAATACTAGCCATTGATTTTAAATGATCAATGACTCTAAAGTAAGGGAAAAATCTAGTGAAAATTTAGTAAATAATTTAATTTTTAAAATATTAAAAGTGTATTTGATGATATATAAAAGTACAACCGTCTTGATTGAACTTTTACATATCAACGAATTCAGTATTTATGCGCAATGAAAATGAGAAGTTAGGGCTGGACATAAACATTATGGCTACTCATATAGTATTAATTAAGTGCACATTTGCATCGCGCACATGCGGCTTTCATTATTCATTAATTTCTACTGCAACATACATTTTGCATTGAAACAATTTGTATGCCATTAATGTTTGAGCTAACTAGCATGTATTGCATCAATTTGTATTCCTTGTCACTATATGAGTTACGTTTCAACCAATTCAATAAATATGCATATTATATAATAAATATTAAATTACAGTAGTAACGAAAATATTAATGATTTTGCGATTATTCATTATAGAGTTAATACCAAAATGACCTTCGACTATAGTTGTTTTTTTCAATTTCGTCTTAAACCATTTTGGTGACCTAATAAAGTCCACATATTTTTGTGTTTTTGCTCAATTTAGTTATCCGTTTGTTATTCCGTCAAATTGGTGATAAATAAAGGGATAATTCAGTAATATCAATATTGTCCTCTCTTTACTCTCAATCCTGGAAATGCAAAATCTCTCTCTCTTTTACGAATTACTCCCAGACCTGCGAGTCAAATTTTATATTCGCAGGTTTTGGAGTAATTCGTAAAAGAAAGAATGATTTCGCACATCGCAGATTTAGGAGTAAAGAGATGTCAATATTAAAATTACTGAATTATCTATCTAGTTATACCAAATGGACAGAATAACAACCGGATGATTAAATTGAGAAAAAACACAAAAGTCTGGATTACATTAGGTCACCAAAATCGTTTAGGACGAAATTGAAAAAATCATTATAGTCGACGACCATGTTAGGTATTAACTCATTTATTATATTTGGCAACTCGATACTCATTCAGGTGATTTATAGATGGTCCCAAAAACTAGAGATGCAACAGTACTAGTAATATTGTTTAACTTTGTACCAAAATTTTGTTTTAATCAAAAAGAAATTAACACAGTAATATAAACAAATATATATTATATTCCTGCAACTGGAAGTGCAGTTGGTTGCAGCTGCTTTGGATCTGAGTAGGAAAGATGGATCAAAGGAGCTGAGAGTGAGAGTGAGAGAGAGGTAAAAAAGTTAGGCAAAAAGAATGAGAGGAAAGACTGGTGGAAGAGACGTAAGATGAGCAGTTCATAATCGCCATCCTCCAGTTTTCTCTTTTCTTTTCCAGTTTTTACTCCAATCGATGACCTAAAATTATGCCAAATTATTAGCTACGTTTTATACAAACATTAATAATTAATAAAGAATTTGATCCAAAACTCCCCCATTAACAAGAGTGCATCAGGACAAACCTCAATTAACTTGGTTAGACTTTTGACTTGGTAGTCACAAATTTGACTCTAGTAACAACTTGTCTACTGGTCATTTTTTTTAAGTTGGTCAGCTAAGAACAACTTAAGTTATGATTATAAGGTAAATAATTAACCCAACAATTTGGACACTTGAAAAGTGGATTGCTAATACCATTACCAATTGTTATACCATGGACCATAGTTAATATTGTATTTTGAACCTTAGTCCAAAAATTATGTGCCTTCTGTTAACATATTATGCACTTACAGTTAACAATATATATATATATATATATATATATATATATATATATATATATATATATTGAAGGCATTTAACATGGTAATTACATACACATAATATGATAACTACATATACATAAATTGTTAGATGCAGATACAAAATATGTTAATTGCAGATACATAAGATTTTGGTTAACATGTTATGTGTATGTAATTATCCTGTGATGTGTCTTTAATTTGTTTACAGATACAAAATGTGTCAATTGCAAATACATAATCTAAAT